TTCAAGAGGTCCATTAAAAGTGCAAACAAGCCCTGCCTTTCCTCTCTCCATAATGGACTAACTGTCTGCCTGCTGTACTAATGGGTCCTTGGCCACAAAGAAACCTGCAACGGCTAATGCCTCACTCCTCATGATGATGGATAAAGTGCTTTCATTGAGATCTCCATACACAGACTTACAGTGGCCTGAATTATTCCAGTCTGGCCCACTGCTGGTCATGAACATGAAAAATGCTATGGGACTGGTTATAAAAAAAAGACATTCTCAGCATCGTCAACAAACACCATGTCAGGCTTTGGGGGTATGTAAGAGTAGATGCTGAACAACCGGTTAACTCCCAATAGGGCCAATGGCACACTCCCTCCAACACTGGGTTGCAGACTTGGAGAAAATGAGCACTCTGTCACATAAGTGGTATAGAGGTTACAATTCTCCAAGGACAATTCTCAGCCGAGCATGCCAGGAGATGTACCTGGGCAGAGGGTGGGGGGTACAGTGAGCACAACTCTTGGGCCTCTGATTCCTGCCAGGAGACAGCTTGGTTGGAGGCACTAGAATTCTACCAGTCTGGGGCAAAGTCTTGCTAGATCTCAAGGAACTCCAAGTGAGCACTGGCCAAGCCATTTGTCCCCCTACTTTGAGCTAGGACTTTGGGTTTTCTCCCTTGGGGAGGAGGGAAAGTGTTTCGTATGTATGGGGAAAAGGGATATGAATACTTGGTGGTGACCAGAAGGGCAGACGGGGGAAGTCTGTAGGACTCTTGACAAAGTTCCTGTTCTCCTCCTTCTGGACATGTGGTACGACTGTACCTCCCCAGCCTCTGAAGTTAAGTGTGGCCATAGGACTTGCTTTGGACAATGAGATGTCCAGTGACATTCCACTCCCGGTAGAAGCTTGAAAAACTAGTGGATTCACTATATTCCTTCTTCCTGCCATGGAAGACAGCATGTACTGACATGGAGACTCCATCATCCTGGGCCCCAGTGACCACAGTAAGCAGATCTCCATCCCCAGCAACCTGCTTTGGACATGAAATGGCAATGAGACATAAACACTCAGATCTTGTTTTAAGCCACTGAGGTTTTGGCGCTGTATGTTACTACAGCCTAACCTTGCCTATATAATTAAATGACATGGTTGTGAAAGCTGCCATTGCCCAACACCTAGGTTTCCATTACAGTTTCATACTATCACACCAGTGAGTATCATCTGCTACATATCCATAGGTCATATGACAGTAACAAGATATCCCAGATGCACAGTCACATTGCATCTATCTAAAAAGTAGACAAAGACAATCACTTCAAGGCTCAGGAGAGACTGAGCACCATGGTCAGGGCCAGGACTTGGAGAGATGGAAAAAGTACCATTCATAACGGAAAAAAAGAAAAGAAAAAATAACTCAAAAGCATCTAGGATTAAATATATATATATACATATATATATATATCTCACAAGGTCACAGTTGATAGTGGTGGGAGGGACGATTGGGGTCCAGGCAGTCTTCAATTGTAACCACCAGTGAATTAAGTAAGAAAGTAAGAACGACTTGACAAGTTGATTGTACAATTCATCAAGAACAGGGGTTCAGCAATCTTTTTCTGCAAAGGGCCAGACAGTAAATATTTCAGGCTCTGCGGGCCATATGGACTCTGTCACAACTGCTCAAATCATGTGAAAGCAGCCATAGACAATATGTAAACATATGAGCATTTTATTTTGTAAATAAAACCTATTCACAAAAACAGACAGCAGGCTGGATTTGGCCCAGGGACTACAGTTTGTTGATGCCTGAGCTAGAAGCGTAAATTCTTGAGGATGGTCAGACTGTTTTGGAAAAACAAATAATAATGAGCAGACACTTTGCCTACCAGATATCAGCACATAATATAAAGATATCACAGTTAATTACTTAGAAGTGCATTATATTTATAGATAAATTTAGGGTGACTAATTTAATTTAGGGGGAATATTTATATTTATGATGTTGCATCTTCCCATTCAGGAATATGGTTTATCTCTACTGTCACTCAGATCTTGGGAGTTTGACAGTGGGGAACTCAAGGCCAATTTTTAGATAAGCAGAGAAGCAAGCAGAATGTCAGAGGGCCAAAGCCACTTACACCCTGAGGCATTTGTCAATACTGTATACCTGGAATTTGGTCCAGTCTTGTGTGAGGCAGGAGGGACAACAGTCTGCAGGGCCCATCCAAGGCAGGAAGTCTCATTGGAAATGTTTCCCATGTTTAGCAGGAACACCAAAGGGCTACACCTTCAGGGACATATGGGATAGATCTAACCCCTTCCTCCCATCCCAATAAGACTCCAAAAAGTCTACCCTGACCCTCAGCAGAGCAAGAGGATAAAGGAAGACATCCCTGAGAATTGTGCCCACAGACCAGCCCTCATGCCAATTTGTCCCTGGGACATAAAACCTGGCTCAGCCATAAACTTGGTATCTTAGTTTTCTAGTGGTACAGTAACATAAATACCACAGATTGCTGGCTTTAAAAAACAAATTTATTTTCTCACAGTTCTGGAAGCTAAAAGTCCAAATCAGGGTCTCAGCTGTGTTGATCCTTCTATGAGCCTCTCTCCTAGTTCCTGGTGTCTGCCAGCAATTTTTGGCATTTCTTTGCTTGTAGACGATATTCACATGGCATCTATCTTCCCCTGTGTGTATTTCTGCATCTTTTCTGGTGTTTTTATAAATCAGAAGTGATTAGATTTACAACTCACCCTACACTGGCATGGCCTCAACTGAGTGATTGACTACATTACATTAGATACATTATGGAAAGTAACTGTTCTACCCAAAGTCAACTGGTCTAATTACATGTAACTACTCCATGACAGCAACTAGACTAGTGTTTGGCAAAACCCTGGGAACCACAGCCTTGCTAAGTTGACATAAAATTAACCATCACACATGGTGTAGGTGGTTCCTGACTGTGGTGCCCCCAGGTGCCTAGCAAATCCTCTCAGAAGGAAAGAACATCTATCCCAGGCTTTGGGAAATCCCTGTAAACAAATTTTCAAGTATGATGAACAGCAAGCTGACCAAGACAACCAGTACACAAAGGAACAGTTCGCTTCAGTGAAAACCTACAAAATAGATCCACACATACTTCAGACATAGGGAATATCAGCTCAGATCTTAAAACAACTCTGTTTACCAGACTTAAAGAAATAAATGACAAACTTAAAAATACATGCAGGGAACAAGAAATTATTAAAAAAAAAAAAAGATGATGTAGCAGTTTTGAAAAAGAGCCAAAGCTTCTAGAAATGCAAATTATAGAAAACAAAATTAAAAATCAATGGGTATATTGGGCAACAGTTTGGTTACAGCAGAAAAGAGAAATAGAGAACTGGAGGATAGATCAGAAGAAGGCAGCAGACAGAAAAAATACAGAAGAGAGGCTGTGAGACACTGTAAGGGCACAGCGAGAAGTCCTAGCATTGGAGTCCCAGAAAGGGAGAAGAGAGAGAGACAATAAGAGGAAGGCAGTATTTAAAGAGACAATGGTTGAGAATTTTCCAGAATTAATGGAAGACACTAATCTACAGATCCAAGAGGCCTAAGAAATAAGTAAAAAGAAATCCACACACAATATCATAATGAAACTGCAGAAACAAAAAATAAAGGACAAATATTTAAGACCAACATAGAAAAAGATACAGCTGACCTTCAAAAGAAGCTAGGTAACAGTGGACTACTGAATTCTCAACAGTAACGGTGAAAGCTAAAAGAAATTGGATTCATTAGCTTCAATGTGAAGAAAGAAAATAATGAAACTATACTCAGCAAAAATCTGAACAAAACCAGTGTTATGGAACACTTCATATACAAACTATTTAATGGGAAACTAATTTGCTCTGTACACTTTCACCTAATGCACAAAAAAAAAAAATTTTAATTTCTCTCAAGAATAAGGGTGAGATAAAGACATTTTCAGAAAAACAAAAAGCATAGTTTGTCAAGAAGAAATTCTAAAATATAAACTTTAAGCAGAAGACAAGTGATCCCATATGGTAGGTCTGAGATACAAGAAAAAGTGAGAAGCAAAGAGAGAAGTAAATATGATGATAAGTGTAAATAAACATTGATAATATAAAATTACAATACAAATAATGTCTAGTGAAGCTTTTAAAAAGGCTTAAAATAAAGGGAACAATAACAAAAGTCAGGAGGGGAGTAAATGCAGAAAAAGCCATTGTATTATCCAAAAGGAAGGTAAAATGTTTATTAAATTTAACCCTTGATAAATTATTTATGAATGTTTTCATTTGTAATCTCTAAATGATTAGAAACAAGACTGAAAAATTTATGAAACAGAGTGAAAAAATTGAATGATTTTTTTAAATGCCTATTTAAAATAAAGGAAGAAAGGAAAAAAAACAAAGAATAGGTTAGAAAGCACAAAATAAAATGGTGGATTTAAACCCAGATATACTAGGAATTACATTAAATGTAAATGGACTAGATTCTCCAGTTGAAATACTACATGCCATGAACAATTTTGAATGGCAGCCTTCCCCAAAGCCACCATGACACTCACAAGCCATGGACCAGGTAGACTTTTCCTGATGACTCAAGCTGCCCATTGTGACCACTCTTGATTGCTCCTTGACATCGCACAGTGTTACTCTCAGTGTTACTCTCCAGGGGTTGGAGCAGGTCTTTACCTCCCTGTGTGGCCTCGGGACTGCTGTGCTTTTTTGGCTCTTGCATCTGCTTTCTATAGTTCTTCTGTCTCACATGCTATTTGACAACTTTGTCTGCTCCGTGTAGCTGCTTCTGACAGCTCTTTGTCTCTCTTCTAATCCATCATTCCTGGTCTCTGAGGACAAAGAACGTGAGTTGTTAAGACTTTCATCTACAGAGTTCCAAGCTAGGCAGAATACAGCTCCATCCTTCTTACGAAAGGGCTTTTCTGCAAGGGGCATTTTATTTAGACTCTGAGTAGTGAGATGCTGTGCTTCAAGAATAATTTCTTATGGAGCCAGAAGCCTTAGAAATTTGCCCTTACAACCCTCACCACCGAATCCCACTCAGCCGATTTCAATACCACCTGGCATCTTGCAGGAGAAAGAACCCCAAGAAAGCCAAAAAGATGGCCAGCTGCAAATACAATGCCTGCCACGTGGTTCCCATCAAAAAGCTGCAGGAACATGAGGCCACCTGTGTGAACAGAAGCAGTGTGGAGGAAGATGACACCTTGAACCCTCTGAAAGTTAGTCTTCCAAGTTCAGAGCAGAATGGAAACACCCCTCAGGCTTCCTCCTGGCTTCCCAACCCCGATATCTGGAATGTTGATGGTGCTAACTGCCACCCCATGTTTGTCCTTAAGACTTTTGTTCCCCAAAAGCTTGTTTGTGAAAGCGACACAAGAGAGTCAGAGAGAGAGGAGACACCATCCCTAACTACCACCCAGAAAACTCTCAGGCCAGGAGAGTGAAATGCCAGCAGGAGAAAGGAAACACACGTCTCTTTTATGCACGAAAGGATAACCAACTCATCAGAATAAAAGACGCACAAATTAAACTACACTAGGATATATTTTCTCCCCCAAAAGGCTTAAAAATATTCTGCTGGCAAAGGTGGGGTGAAACGGGCACTCTCATAACATCGGTGAGAACCTAAGTTGATACAACCTCCATTGAGGGCAATTTGGTAATAGCTACAAAAATTATCTATGCACACACGCTTCCATCAAGCAATTCTATGTCTAGCAATCATTTCTGTAAATATATTCACACATACAGAAAATGAGGTAAGTACAATGTTATTTATCACAGCATAGGTGCTCACTTCAGCAGCGCATGTATTTATTGCAGCATTATCTGTAGAGGCAAAAAAGTCAGAAACAATTTAAATACCCATTTGGAGGGCCTGATTAAATGAATTATGGGGCAGCCGTACAATGAAATAGTATGCTGCTGTGAAAAAGAGTGAGAATGCTCTTTCTGCACTGCTATGGAAAGGCTAAGGCATACTGTTTAACTCAAGGGTCAGCAAACATTTTCTCTAAAGTACCATATAATATTTTTGGCTTCGCAGGCCATATAGTCTCAGCTCTGCCATTGCAGCACAAAAACAGTCATAGACAGTAGTAAACAAATGAACATATGTTCCAATAAAACTTTATTTACAAAAACAGGCAGCAGGCTGGATTTGGCCCATGGTCCATAGTTTGCCAAACCCTGCTTTAACAGATAAAAGTAAAGTTCAAAAAATTATATATATGCCAGTATTTTTGCAGAGTTGTGGGAGAGAATGTGTCTGCGTATGTGCTTGTATTTGCGTAAAATTTCTCTTGAAGGATACATTTAGAACAGGGATCTGCCCACAAAGCTTAAAATATGTACTTTACAGAAAAAGTCTGAAGAGAAACTTTATACTATTATTGAACCATGTGAATGTATTATCTAGTCAAATTAAAATAAATATTTTTTAAAATCAGCAGATCTAAGCCTTAAGCCGTTTGAAAGTTTTTCAGGAGGAAATCTTTTTTCTTTAAACAACACAAATTTATCATTTTACAGTTTTGGAGGTCAGAAGTCCAAAATGGGTCTCACTAGGCAAAAATTAAGGTGTTAGCTGAACTGCATTGCCTTCTGGAGGCTCTAGGGGAAAATCCGTTCACTTGCCTCTTCCAGCTTCTAGAGGTAGCCTATATTCACTGGTTTGTGGCCCTCTTCCATCTCCAGAGCAGGAATGGGCAGGTCTTTCTCACACTGCAGTACTCTGACATCAACTCTCCAGCCTCCCTTGTCCACATGTAAGGAGCCTTGCGATTACACTGGGCTCACCTGAATAATCCAGCATACTCTTCCTATTTTAAGGTCAGCTGATTAACAACCTTGATTCCATCTGCCATCTTAACTTCCTGGTGATTAGGATGTGGACATCTTTGTGGAGTCATTCTTCTGCCTATCACAATGTACACTTCCACATACAATCAGCCCACTCTCTGGATTACTGCAGAGCAAATACCAGACATTATCTCGTTCATAGCTATTTCAGTATGTATTTTTAAAAGATCAGGATTCTTAAAAAAAAGAAAACGACCACACCTAAAAATAATCACAATGCCTTAATATCAACTATCCAATCATTATTTATATTTCCCTTATTCTATCATAATTTCCAAAATATTTTAGTTCATTTGAAACAGAATTCAAATAAGATCCATACACAACATTGAATAATTTTCTATTAAAAGGACAGCATCTCTGAGGATACCTAATATTGCCTTAAATCATTTTAATTATACTCTTGGTTAAAACATACAAATATTAAACCAAATATAAATCCCTCAAGTGTATGTATACATACATAAATCTATATCTATGCATCTATAAAGCAGCCCTGGCTGCACAATCATTAAGCACTTGGCTGCTAATTAAAACATTGGAGGTTTGAACTCACCCATCCACTCCATGGGAGAAAGACCTGGCTATCTGCTCTTATAAAGATTACAGCCTAGAAAATCGTATGCAGCAGTTCTACTCTGTCACATGGAGTCACTATGAGTCAAAATCAATTCCACAGCACCTAACAACAATGCATTTAACTCATTGCCAACGAGTCAATTCCGACTCATAGTGACCTTATAGGACCAAGTAGAACTGCCCCATACAGTTTCCAAGGCTGTAAATCTTTACAAAAGCAGACTGCCACATCTTTCTCCCGCTGAGCAGCCGGTGAGTTTGAACTGCTGACATTTTGGTTAGCAGCTGAGCGCTTAACCACTACTCCACCAGGGTTCCTTGTGGTAAGTGTAGAATTAACAAAACATTTGCCACTTCAACATTTTTTACATGCACAATTCAGTGACATAAATTACATTCATCATGCTGGGGAACCATCACCTCTGTCCCTTTCCAAATTTTTCCATCACCCTTATCAGAAGCTCAGTGCCCCTTAAGCAATTACTCCCTCTCTCCCCTTCTCTCCTAATAAACTGTGGTCTCTATACACTTGCCTATTCTAGAAATTTCATATAAGTGGAATCATACAGTATTTGCCCTTTTGGTCTGACTTATTTCATTCAACATAATATTTTCAAGGTTCATCATGTTGTAGCATGTACCACAACTTCATTTCTCTTAATGACAGAGTAATATTCCATTGTACGTATGGATTACATTTTATCTATTATCTGATGATGGACATTTGGATTGTTTCCATCTTTTGGCTATTGTGAATAGTGCTTCAATGAACATTGGTGTACATGTATCTGTTTGTGTTCTTTCTCCACAATTTTTCTATAAACCTAAAACTGCTCTAAAAAATAGTCTATTAAAAAAGTAAAAGGTAAGATGCAAACTATAACTAATGAATAGCAAATTATAAAACAATTTTATTTAAATAAAGCTTAAATTTTTATTTAAAAAAACATTCTATTTAACTCACTAAATCAAATATATTTCCATTCTGATCAATACTACCAATACTTGTAAGACAGAGACAGTAAATACGTGAAATGTGCACCACCATCTACACCTCCCATGCACATAACAGACACGACTAATCAATCATAGCACCTTCAGAATCTTTCTCACACAGTGCTCCAGGCTGCCACTACAAAGTGTTAGAAGTTTGCTCTACAGTGACGGAGTCCCCTGTGGTCAGGGCTCCCATTAAGCCACTCACCCACATGACCTGACTTGAGGTATTTTAGGAAGAGTAGTGGTTGAGAGCTACGGTGAGCTACGGCTGCTAATGAAAAGGTCGGCAGTTCAAATCTACCAGCTGGCTCCTTGGAAACCCTATGGTGCAGTTTTACTCCGTCCTATAGAGTGGCTACGAGTAGGAATCAACTCCAAGGCAATCGGTAAGGGAACATTAGTCCTTTAGGGAAAACCCCCGCCTGGAGATCCGTAAAAAAAAGACCACGCAAGAGGAATGTCTGTTCTAAATTCCTGAGATGGATCTCAGCCGGCTGTTATCTCCCCTCCTCAGTCCTCACTACCTGCCCCCACCGAGCCTGTCTCCAGATGAACAGCTGCTGTAAGCCAGATCTAACAGGGACAATCATAAAAACACTCGTTAGCAGTGATAGTGGCCACAGCAAGCTAATGCTGGGGTTGGCACCAGTGGTTGAATACAAAGAAGAGCCAGCAAATGGCCTGGACAAAAGGTAGTCCACCAGCCTTGGGCAGCGGGCAAGCTTTCCAAGTTCATGTGAGGGTTCCCGGCAAAGGGGGAGACTAGCAGAAAAGCTGAGTCCTGAGGCAGAGGCAGCTCTGGCATGGCAAAAGGAAGGAGAAAAAGGGGAGCTACATTTGGGCCAGATGCCTTGCAGACAACTGTTTTAGTAAGTCCTAGCTACAACACTGAGGGGCAAGTATTTTTATCTCCAATATGTAGATGTGAAAAATGAGTCTCAGATGAGTTTAAGATAATGGTGGTAGAATAATGTGGAAAAGGAGAGCGAGAATGGTAGCACAACTTGATGAATGTAACCAGTATCACTGAATTGTACAGGTAGAAATTGTTGAAATGGTGTATCTTTGACTGTGTATACTTTCACCAAAATAAAAACATTAACAATAATATAAAAAGTGAGTCTCAGCGAAGTTAATTAACTTGCCTTATTTCACAAAGTTACTAAGTGGCAAGTGGCCTAATTACATTGACCCCAAACCTAGCAATATACTACATATAAAACAGAATGTGTGCATGGGTTGCCAGAAGGCAAGGACAAGAATGTTCATAACAGTGCTATTTGTAATAGCTAAACTGGAAAGAGTCCATACGCCCTTCAGGAGAATGGGTGAGACAATGGTGGAAAAGTCACAATAGAATACTATACAGCCACGAGAACAAACAACTATAACTCTTCAAACCAACATGGATAAATCTCACAAACATAACGTGGATTTCAGTTTACATAAAGTTTAAAAAGGGGGGGGGCGCAAAACAAATCTATGGTGTTAAAAGTCAAGATAATACCCTTGGCTAGTGGAGAGGGGGCTTCCGGGGTGCTGTGCAGGTTCTGTTTTTTGTTCTGGGTGCTGGGTACATGAGGAATAGTCACAATGGCTTTGGATTCTAGAATTTTTCACCTCATTCCTTTTCAGCAAAGTTCTGGGAACCTTAGACCCACTAAGTTCTTCTACCACATTGTTGAGCCCAGGGTCCAAGGGTTTTTTCTTTTTCTTTTTTTTTAGTGGACACAGGTCTCACCTTCTCTATTAGCTAGCTCTTGCTATGATAATGCTGAATAACAAACCGCCCCATCACTCAATGGCTTCAAGAAAACATTCTTACCCTGTGTCAGTTGAGGGTTGGCTAGTCTAGACTCACAAACACAAGCAGACAAAATGACACGATATTGAACATTTGGACAACATTGTTGTTGTTAGGTGTCGTTGAGTCAGGTCTGACTCATAACGACTCTATGTTCAACAGAACAAAACACTGCCTGGTCCTGCGCCATGCTCACAATCG